GCGGGAGGGCAGCCACCGGCCCCGAGGCCCCGCCCCGCCCATCTTCCGGCCCCGCCCATCTCCCGGGCCCGAGGCCCCGTCTCTCCCGGCCCCGAGGCCCCGCCCCACCCCAGGCACCCACACCCCGGCTTCCCCCGTGGCGCCAGCCCGCCAGCTCCGAACCCCGTCGTCGGGGGTGTTTGCGGAGGCTTCGTTGCGTAAGCCCTACTGATGGGGTCGTTGGCCTTGGCGATCAAGGTCCGGCTCCCCTCCCCCGCCAGAGGGTCGCTGGGAGAGGCCGGTGCTCCGGCCGCGTGGTCGGCGCTGTCGCCCAGCCCCCGTCCCTGGTGGGGCCCCAAAATCACCTCATCAGCGTGACAAAAGACATGATGGCGGGCCTGAAGGCATTAGGGGCCCGTGGGAGCTCGGTGCAGGGAGAGGGATGAAGACCGGATCGAGGTTAGTGTGAATCACGGCACAGCCAGCAGCCCGAACGCGTGGAAGTGGGTCCGCGGCTGTGAACTCGGTCTGGCCCACAGCGTGACTGCGGCCTTGCGGTTCCGGGCTCCGAGCCCAGGCACTCTGTGCCGGACTTCAATCTGCAGAAGCTGGTGATACATTAACTGGCTGGCTTTGGTAATTTGTTACACAGCAATAGAAAACCAATAAAACCCGGTTCAAAAACAAATGTCAACTGCGTAAATTTGAAGATCTAATTGGCTTTGTTAGGCGATTCGTGAACCGGACAGCATCCCGCTAGCAAGCAGAGCTGTTCCAAGGACTTAGAGAAAACAGGATTTTCACAGGCAGGAGGGTGGGGCAAGGCTCATTAGAAAGAGAAAGGAAGGGCTTGTTTCTGGCCAGGTCCCTTGTCCCGAGGGGGAAGGGCGGAGGGTCTTGGAGGCGCTCTTAGCGGGTGGAGAGGGCCCACCTAATAGATTACCCCATTGGCGCTGACCAGAAAATTCCTGGTCGACGGTTAAAAGCTCACATTCCTAGAATACGTCGAGGCTGTAACTGAATCTTGGTTTGGGGGGCATATGACTCCTTTGGGGCACACTCGGGAGTCCACGTTCAGATACTTTAATTAACAAGTATATATTAATATTAAAACAGGATCACTACTGTTACTTTCATCTTGTTTCCTTCCTTTAATATATTGTCAGCATCTTAACATGTAGCACTTTATTTTTCCTAAGACTAATTTGTAGAAGCTTTGTCAAAGGGTATTGGCCCTTAAAATTTGGAAGAGCCTGTCAAATTGCCTTAAAGACAAGACTGCACTGATTCCCAGTTCCACCAAAGTATGTGAATTCCTACTTCTCCACATTCTCTCCTCTGCCAGTATCATCATCTTTAATAATGTTCCTTGTCGATTTGTATTTCTTTTATATACAGTAAGTTTAGAGTCAAGTAACAGCATACCATGCAGTCTGCTTATGTTTTTTTAAGCATTATCAACACAGTCTAGGAATGTAACTTAATACTGATCTTTGTACTTAAATGCACACAAACCAGGGCAAACTTTCTAAATTTGGGCTACTTGATTAACAAATGCTGTTTCTAGATATAGATACCTATTTTGGAAGAGCCTCAAAATTTTCCTGAATTTTGGCAGAATATCTTTTCATCTATTTGCATTGACTTTTTTACCTCACAGACCCAAAATATTAGATGTTTTTAAAAATTAATATTTCTTACTTGAATTACCTATTGTTTAAAGTACAAAAACTATGGTCAGCCAAATCTTGGAAGCAATCAAGATTTCCTTAAGTAGGTGAATGGTTAAATAAACTATCGTACATTCAGACGATAGATTATTATTCAAAGCTAAAAAGAAATAAGCTATCAGGCCAAGGAAATACATGGAGGAAACGTACATGCATTTTACTAAGTCAAAGAAGGCAATCTTCAAAAAAATTTTTTGACGAATTAGGGCAAACATTGCCTTAGGTGGAAATTAGCAATTGTGATTTAGTACTAGTGTTTTACAGTCTAATCCTGTCCTTGGCAGTCTCTTCAGTGTTACGACTACAGTATGATACCCTACTTTTGTATTTTGTTTGCTGTTTTTCAGCTTGATTTTGTGTACATTTTTACATTAATATCGGTATGTTTGGGTTAATTGTTTCTCAATTCAGTAATCTATCTTTTCATTTCTAAAAGGAGCCTCCTGCTCTTAACCTCCCAGGTCCAATTCCATGTTTGGGTAACTGCAATAAATAATTTAACAACAGCTAAACGTCCCTGAAACTAACAGAATATTGTATGTCAATTCTACCTCAGTAAAAAAATTGTAAGTAAATAAATAGCAGCGAAATGTACAAGGACTATTTTTTTAAATAGACTGTATTTTTTAGAGCTGTTTTAGGTCCAGCAAAATTAAGTGGAAGGTGCAGAGATTTCCTGTATGATGTAAGTCTGGGGAGAGGAAATCCTGGGGCAAAGTACCTCTAAAACTAAAATCAGTCAAAGGGAAAATAAAGTTTAAAACCCAGTTGTTGCTTACAAACTGCAGTCGGGAGCCGTTTCTCTCTCCTCCAGCAGAAGCCAATCAGCCCTCCCCTTACCCTCTGAGGTTCAGATAAGCCCTCAGTTGCCCAGGTAATTACCCATTGATATGGAGATGAACTACTCTCCACGCTTGAGGAACGCCTTTTGATACACAGATGCACTAAAGCCATACTGCTCTCCACCCCTGAGGATGCACTAAAGCCGGGCGAGATATTCTGGAAATATTACAATTTTACCCACAATGCCTTCTGCCCCCATACAGGCATAGTCTCCTCCAACAGCAGCATCTGCCACCAGAGTGGTCTGTTTTCATGATTAGTGAACCTGACACTGACATATTAAAATCACCCAAACTCCATGGTTTACATGGCAGTCAGTCTTGGTGTTGCAGAGTCTGTGAGTCTGGATAAATGTATAATGGCATGTATCCCCCGCTAAGGAATCAGAGGAAGGTCTTTTAAAGGTGATCTTTGTCTAGACAGAGCTGAACCTATTCCTGCCTGACAAGAAAAGTTCTTCCTCTTACATTCGGTATCTGGTAAAATGTCCTTCAACGTTTGCCCTGAATCTAACATTTAACTGGCTTTTCAACTCTAAAATCCATTCCACAAGTGTGGCCTCGTCGGTGTTGGGTACTGTATGGATGGAGGGGCGCCTCCCGTGATCAGGCCTCAAACTGTGTGCAGCCCTGCTTGTTGGAGAACAGCGTGTCTCAGGCCCAGTGCTCCCAGGGGTTGGGCTGGGTGGCTCTTTGCTGCGGGTGATTGTCCTGAGCCCTGCAGGAGGTTCAGGAGCTTCCCTAGCCTCCACCCACTCAGTGCAGGTAGCATCTCTAAGACAGGACAGAGAACAGCCTCTCTAGACATTGCCAGCTGTTCCCTGGGACAAGTGGGCAAAGTCACCGCCGGGGGAGAACCACTGCCCTAGACCCACACAGGCCCACTCAGTTCCCCTTAAACCATGAACTTCATATGTCTTCACTAATGTGTTCTCAGCCTTGAATGACAGGAGAAATCCTTTACATCTTTCAAGACCTACATTCTCTGTGAGGACTCCCCAGACACAGAATCCAAGGGTGAATGGAATATATCGGGTCCTTCCCTGCTTTCTCAAGGCCGACCGGGCTGAGGAGTGTGGGTGGGAGGGGGCGTCGTCTGTCTCACAGACTATTACAGGTGCCCTGAAGGAAGACGAGACAGAAACTTGGTTCTACAAAAAAATATGTCAAGGGAACTGTCTTAGATTTTGGGGAAGGGTCAGGGCAGGCCTCCCTGAGAAGGTGAGTGAGCCAAGGTCTAAGGAAGCAGATCTAACCAGAAGTGAGGGGTCCACGCAGGCCCTGGTGGGGGCTGGGGACATCCCCTGACACTGGTGCCCTGAAGGAACTTGCAGTGTAAGGGGGAGAGTGTGAGATCAAGAGGAAGATATGCCAGACATGGCAAGAAGGGACAGAGGAGCACAGGGGCTTCAGGGAAGAGCTCTGGGCTTTGCTGCTCTTGCTACGCGTGGCTAGAAACTGGTGCTTATCATCCACGATGACTGAGCTCGTAGGGAGCAGAGGCCTGGTTAACCCCAAGTCTCCAGCCCCGGTGCCCAGCTCTGCCCATTCCCCCAGCTCCCTGCCTGCAGCCATGGCTCTTTGCTCATGTCTTTCAAAGCACAGGCTTCATCTGATCTGTGTTACATGGCAGCACTTCCTCTAATTCTAGGACAGTGTATGTAATTCTGCTTAAATACCGTGCATCAGGATTCCATGAAAACATCATTACACATGTTAAAGAGGATTTGGAAAATTGTCATCTTTTTTTTAAAACATTATCTGTGTGATTCTATAAGGACTGTCAGCTCCATCGCAGTGACCCCTGGGCAATAATGCTTCAAAAGTGGTTCTCAGTTTCCTCATTTTGAAACTAGGGATAATAACAGTACCAACCCTTAGGGTAACTGTAAGAATTAAATTAGTTAACATGCATAAAACATTGAGAACAGCTCTGGTATAGGTATGAGCTCAGAACATGCTGTAATCACTGAAGGGATGATGGATGGGCAGTGGGTGCAGGGATGAAGGAACAGGGACAAATCTGTGTTCTCCATGGGCTCTCGCAGCCCTCACCGCCCCTTCTTGTTCCTAAGACAACCCCAGTTAGGGGTGTAATCAATTCCTCTTTTTAGGCCACATGAAAATGTCATTCGCTATCTACTAAGCAGACTTCAAGAGAACAATGTCTAGGGATGTCTATGTCCCCACTAGGGCCTTGGTGAATCCCTGATTCTTAGGCAAACCTAAAAAAAAAATAAAGCAAGAAAATGTAGCCTAAGTCTAAACTCAAAAAGCAAAAAACAAAAAAAACAAAAAAAAACAGGGTATGTTGGAGCATTACTGGAAAACAAAGAATTTTTGAATGATTTCTTAATCTCAAAGGAAGGTTTTTATAGCTGATTCTCACACTGAAGATTGCATACATGTGTCAGTGGGAGAAATTAACCCAGCAGATCGGTCCCAGATTCCCTCTCTTCTTTCATTGAACAAATGCTTATTGACCATCTACTCTCTACCAGGCTGTAGTGATCATAGTTTAAAGGAAAATTTAAAAAACAGTCAAGGTCTCTGCTGTCACGGAGTTCACATTCTGATAGGGGAGAGAAAGCTGAAATAGCAAAATGAACGGGAATTACATTGTAATGAGTCAAGAAGGAGACAAAGGAGGGACTCTAACGGCGTATAACCTGTCTGGACGGGGCAGGGCGGCCCCCTCCGCAGGCAGCATTTGTAACGAGGCCCGAGGGAGGGGGTGGAACCAACCGCTCTTGAGTCCCGTCTTTTGCTCACCTCATCAACTACTGTGGTCATAGTGCCATAAAGTAAGTTTTGTGAGCAAAATATTCCTGCACTGATTGCTTCCTTTTATGACAGTTAATCAAGACAAGATACATTTTCCCCAATTTTTATGGAATCCTATCTTGATTCCAGTTGAGCATCCTGACACTGAAGGCTCCCAGCTTCCGCTCTACAGCTGCATTCTTACCTTGTTCTCCCACAACCCAGCCACGTAATGGACACGCCCACACCTGTACACGGTTTCTGTAGGACACTTTCGCTTCAGGAATCTAGTAATAGGCTCCTGCTGTCTGGCTCTCATTTGCTTCATTTGATTGGTAACATTTAGTGTCAGAATAAAATGTTTTCAAGCAGAAGACTGGTAGAGACTAGCTTAGTTTTGGAGACACTTTCTTTTTCTTTGTTTATTTAGACTTATTTATGGAATTGTTTTATAGTGGGGTATTTTTTTTACTTCCTTTGGGTTCTTATGGGCTTTTTTACATTAAAATACAGTGTTAATTAATTACAAATTTGTTGAAAGTACCAAAAGAAATATAAAACCTTCTTAAAGTCTTTTCTCATTAGTTGTTATATAATGTTTTCAAGAAGATGTAAATTTACTTGTATCATCATTAATGATGATGATGGTAAGTACCATGTACTGAGCTTTCACCACATGTCAAGCTCTGTGCCACGCATTTCATATTACATTATTTTACTTACACTGTGAAGCATTATACTCATGTTACAAGTGAAGGAACTGAAGACAAAAAAATAAGGAAATTTGCTGAACACATCGTAAAAGAGCCAAGAGTAATTCCGAGATATTTGATTCCAAAACCATGATCTCAGTTATTCCATACAGTGAAAATATATTGTCAAATAGGAGTAAAGCAAATGCTTACATTAGACGTTGATGGGCCTGTTCAAAATGAAATAATGGAATGACTGGAGTAAAATAATACATATTAAGTAATTATTATAAGGAAATGATAATGCCACCAAATAGTATTTACAAAGTACACTATAATCATTTAATTATTTTTAACTGCTACAATGTTGGACAGGGTATAATTATTTCCTCTTACAGGTATAGTGATTGAGACAGGCAAAGTTTAAAAACCATTTCCAATGTGTAAAAATAAGTGAAATCTAATATCATAATGTGTCAGTGTCTTTATGTTTTAAAAGATGTCTCTTGTAGATACCATAATAGTTGGGTCTTTTTTTTTCTTGTAATCCATTCTGACAAACTCATCTTTTTAATTGGAGTATTTAGTCTATTAACATTTATTGTGATTTATTGTGATTATAGAAATAGTTGGATTTAGGTGTACCATTTCACTCTGTTTTCTTTGTCCCTTCTGCTTTCTGTTCTTCTTTTGAACTATTTAAACATTCTTTTAGAATTTCATTTTCTCAAATGAGAAATGTGTTTAGTGTTTGTTCTAGGGGTTGCAATAAACATACGTAAGTTTTCACAATCACCTTAGAATTAATATCAACTTTATGTACTATGTAGAAGCCTTGCAACTCTATTGGCCCACTTATACCCCAAGCCTGTCCTTTAAGCTATAATTGTTACATACATTGTTACATACATTCAATTCATGTATGTTATGAACCCTATAAGACAATGTTAAAATTTGTGCTTTAAATTCTTTAATGTTTTAAAGAAATTAGGAGAAAAAGTGGTCTTTTATATTTACCTAGATCTGTATCGTTTCTATTTTACTCCTTCTAAAGATCTGAGTTTCCGTTTGGTATTATTTCTCTTTAGTCTGATGAACATCCTACAGCATTTCTTATAGTATATAAATCTGCTTCCAACAAGTTCTTAGTTTTCTTTTTTAACCCACAAGTATCTATTTTGCCTCCATTCTTTTTTGTTTCTACTTTTCCTTCCTGATTTTACTGAGATATGATTGTCATATGATAAATGGCACATATTTAAAATACATAATTGTAAGTTTTCACATAAGTAAATGCCCATGAAACTATCACCACAATCAAGATAATGAACATATTCATCACCTCCAGAAGTTTCTTCATCTCTTTCTAATCCCCTTCTCTCCTTAGCCCCTCTCCCCATTTCCTAGCAAACATTAATGTGCTTTCTGTCACTATAGATTAATTTGCATTTTCTAGAATTTAATATAAATGAAGAATTATTCACCATGTATTTTTTTTGTATTGCTCCTTCAATCAGCACAATTATATTGTGTCATTTATGTTACTGCATGTACCAGTAGATCATTCTTCTTTATTGCTGAGTAATCTCCTATTGTATGGATATATCATGATTTTTAATCCAGTCACCTGTTGATGGACATTGGGCAGTTTTTAGTTTTGGGGATTATTGATGAAGCTGCTATGAATGGTTGGCTCCAGGGCTGTGTGTGGACATGTGCTTTCATTTCTTTAGGGTAAACATCTAGCAATGTAAAGGATGGTCATATGGCAGATGCATGTTTTACTTTTTAAGGGTTAAAAATAGTCGCTAAACTATTTTCCTAAGAAATGGTACCTTTTTACATCCCTGCCAGCTGTGTAAGAGTCCCAACTGCTTGCCAAGAGTTGGTCCTGTCAGTCTTTTTAGTTTTAGCCCTTTCAGGGGTGTGTAGTGGTATCTGGTTGTGATTTTTATCACCTTCATTCATGAAGGATATTTTCACTAGCTATAGAATCCTGGGGTGACAGGTTTTATCACTTTTGCTTTCAGCACTTTAAGATGTGTCTACAGTCATTTTGATCATTGCTCCCTTATATGTGCTCCCCTGTCTCTGAGCACTTTGTTTTTTTCTGAATCTTTGGTTTTCAGCAATTTGACTATTCTGTTCCTAAGAACAGTCTTATTACATTGTTTGGGTTTCACTGAAAAGACTGCTTTTGTCCTTCACCAAATCTGGGAAACGGTCCGTCATTTTGTCTGTATAACATACTAATTAATGTAGACAAAAAGTGTTTTAAAGAATTTTCATCTACAACTTTCATTTATCTTCTGCAACTAAAACAAATCTGATGTCTGACAATGAGAACCAACCTTTCACAAAAATATTTAAAAAACCTTTTTGAGTCAATTAGTCAATGATAACATAGAGACACAGTTCATCAGTCATCCATTCACTTATTCATTTAACAAAGATTTATTGGTTAGAGAATGTAAGGACCATTAAAAATACATATTGACTTATTTATTCCAAATAACTGTAAATAAGCAGTATTGTTATCCCATTTTACAGATGAGGAAGCTGAGACTTCAAGAGGTTACGTAATATGTCTGAGATCACGTAGGTAGTAAATACCAGAGCTGGACTTTGAACCTAGCTAGTCAGGCTCTAAAATATGCGTTTTTAAGCCGTACTGATTCTAACCACTGGAGGCAAAAAAATGGAGGCTGTAGGATGGTCAGCCTCTATCTTTGGCCATATGAGTACTGAGCATATCACTCAAGTCATTCTGACACTTTTCCTTACCTGTAAAATCAGTGCATTTTACCAGCGGAGACTAAACTCTTATCCAGCTCGGAGCATTTACTCTTGTAGACCTTGATAGCAAAGGTTGGCACATGTCAACTAGAATTAATGAAATCAGGTATGGAAGTAACAGTACTATACAAAAAAGGGCCATAATAATTATTACACAGCAGACCCACAGGTGACAGATATTTTAATTGCTGGAGTGAGTTCTCAATAGTTTTTATTAACAGGATGTCATTGAGATTCTTTTTTCATTTTGAGTGGGTGTATTCTAAAACAAAGATGATCTAATAGCTTATCACAGTGTCTCCCAGTTCTTGAGACCTGGTTTTCCCTTTTCATTGATGATTGTGTGACATACTGTTTCTATAACAATCATGACATATGAAATAGTTGAGTGTTTTTAAAAAATAAGTCTGTAAAGTTCTTTCTGCAGTGAGAACAGCTTGCTAGTAGAAATATTGGAAGCAGATTGTACTAAAAAAACAGACGACATATGAACAATTCAAGATACTATACTAAAAAAACCTATTTTTAATGATACAGGACTTTTAATCTAAAAAAGTACAAGGATGTGACAGGACTTTAGAATTAGGAGTGACTGTTCATGTTGCCTGTAATTTTAAAAAAATCATAGTTTAAAAAACCTGTTTTCTTTAACATTTCTAACTATGATTATTTAAAACATGGCATCTTTAAGAGTCTGAAAGTGGAGCTATTAGGAAAATTAATAAGCAATACTAAAGTAAGGCAGAGAAAGACAAATACTGTATGATTTTACTTATTTGTGGAATCTAAAAAGAAAACAGAAATTGAGTCATAGACAAAGAGAAGAGACTGGTGGTTACTGTAGTTGGGGGTCGGGCGACAGGAGTGTGTGAAATAGGTGGAGGGGAAAAAAATTAGTGACAGTGTTTAATATCTTGATCTGGGTGATGGTCACATGAGTGTATGTACATGTCAAAATTGAGCTATACACTAAGGTCATGCATTTTATTGTATGTACCTTAATAAAAAAATAATATGTGAACCTAAAATGCAGGGATGTTAAACACAGAGCTCAAGACAATTTTCTTGGAAAAGAAACTGCATTCTAGGACACTATTCCAGTTAATAAGAACTTTTGAGTAAGAACAAATAAAATAACAAGCAACAATTAAGATGTATTGCATGCCTAGCAGGTGCCAGGCACTGGGTTAAGTACTTAACATTGACCGTCTTATTTAAACTTCACCACAACCCTCTGGGGGAGATATTCCTTATTATCATCTGCACTTTATAGATCTGAAAACTGGGGCTGAGAGAGGTTAAATCACTTGCCAAGCCTCCCATCAGTAGCTGGGGCAGAGCCAAACGGATTTGAGTGACGGCTCTCTGACTCTAGGGCTGCCTCACTCTGAAAGCACGATCCACCGTACACAATGGGTAAAAACACGTGGAAAGGAAAATACAAACCCTCACTGCCAAGTCTTGTTCTTAGTGCAGGAAACCATCTTCAGCACTTAAGCTGCTTTTCTTTTCTAATTTTCACAGTCGTCGTATGGGCAGGTGTTATCTTTTTAGATCTGAGGGAACTGAAGCTTAAAGAAACCAAGTAACTTGCCCAGAACCACACTTCCACTACGGCTGGACAGGAGACACGCTCCCAGGCCCTCCACCCGCAGCCCCACTTCACTGCTTCCTCGGGAATCTCGGTGTGAACACCCTAGACAGACCGATCTGGCTCTCTGTTCCTATCTGTGGAGCACCAAACTCTCCCTCCCACGTTCTTTTCTGGGACAAATACACCCACCCTCCATGGCTTCTTCCCGCTGGCTGACTCCCACGGCTCCTTCCAACCGCAGGGAGAGCCTCCCCGCTCTGCGTTTTCCCTTTGTGTCCTCAGCCCCTGGCCCAGTCTGGGTCCCCGGAGAGTGCCCCGAGCAGCCTGGGCTGACCTGGCTCCAGCATTCGGCCCTCCTCGGTCACCCGTTTACTGTCAGTGTTCCCTCTCCCTACCTCTCCAGGGCCCGCTGCACACACCGCCCAACAGTAATCGGTGTTTATCTCCTCTGTGTCTAGCTAAGTACCCGGCACACTGTAGATGCTCAATGAATGTTTGCAGATGGATGAATAAAGACCGACCTCTGAAGTCCAGAACAATTACCCGAATGCCATGACTGGAAAGTCACTGCCCCTGAAAGAACACACACAAATACTGTGTGTCACATGGATTAGTGAGTCTCTAGTTCTAATACTTAAATGAAATGGACTTAAAGTACTCATTATTAGGATGAATAATGACAATTTTCATTTTTGCATAAGTATTTTGAACTGATTTATCTTTCTTGTTTTTGGAAAGAGCTAATGATTATTTCCTAATTATAATGAGCACTAATATTGTAACAACAGCCTGCATCTTCAGGCTTTTATCTCATTTCACTCTTATGATCAGTTTTGTGACATAGGTGCTACTAGATATTTTATAGTAAGACAATGAGCTCAGAGGTGATTTATTCAAGATCAGAGAAGTAAAATGGTTCTTCTCCATTTTATGGCTGGGAATATACTTCAGCTCTTCTTTAAGGCCAGTGTTCTTCCCACTATGAAGATACAGAAAAAGTGAAAATGAATATCGTCTTTAAAATGTGGATTCTCAAAAAAATAGTGAGTGAGGGAAGAGAATCCTTTCCTTCACACCAAATGAGGGAGCATTTATCTGGTAGCACGGGCTATGAAATCAGTAGTTCCATAGTGGAAATATCTCTGGGGAAGGGGCAGTAGAGAGGAAGGAAAAGAAAAAGAAATATCTCTGGTTAGCTTAATCTTCCTGCCATAGTCTTCAGACTTTATCTAAACTGCCAGAAAGAGTAACATTTCACTGGGTAACTTCTGTGCAATGTTTTCCTATGTACATGTATTGCCTCTTTCAATATTTTTACAAATATAAAGGTACCAATGAGTCTATTTCCTCTGCTTCGTCAAGGCAGTGTCACAAGACACAGCAGCTGAGGGCAGGCGTTCTCCGAAAAGCCTCTAGAAACACCTCCTTAACTAGAACATCGAGTACCCCCATGTCTTTTATGTCATTGCATATTAGGATTGTGAGGTAGGTGCTGAGTATGAGTAACGAATGAGCAGAACCCACATTGCCCCGAGTGCACCTGGGCCCTAAGGAGACGCTGGCTCTCACCGAGCGCTGAGCTTCGGGGCAGGGGCCACGTCCCTGACGATCTGACTGCAATGCCAGCTGCTCCTTCCATTATGCCAGGCTGCCTCGGCCTGCTGCGGGGAGTCAGGACTAGCGCCCTGGTTCGATCTTCTGGGCCCCAGTGCCGCTCTGCCGGGCCCTGTTGTACTCATAAGAAAAGATCTCCAAGATGTATTATGTGAAAAGAGCCAGGTGATTATTATAGTTCACTGTTTTGTGCAAGAAGGCGAAACTTTTAAAAAGAATATATGCCCGCATTTGCTTATTATGCATAAACTATCAGTTGCCAACAGATTCTCCATCTATAAAATGTGGGTGGTGGCATTTCATTGAACGTTGCAAATATTAGGGCAATGCCCAAGTCCCTGGAGTGCCATTTTACCTGGGTTCTCAAGCCACATAGTTCCTTGGCTTAATCATATTCTAAAATACCCTTAAAAAAATCATTTTCAACAGGCACTGGCAAGATGAAAGTGCGGCAAGCCATGGCAAAACGTAGTTACTTGGAGGTGCTTAGGCCCGACAGCAGGGAGCCGAGACTGAAAGATGTTTGGTGAATCGCTGTGCCAGATACCAGAGAACTACCACTGTTCATTCTTTTACTAATAACCAAAATCCTTCTTTCCCCTTAAGAGGGGTCGTTCAGATGTTAGCGACAGTGTTATGTGAACAGTCTGTTACTCCAAATGTATGAGCGACTTTAAGGGAGACCTTAAAATAGGACCTCCGATGATGGCCCCAAGCACATCACCTGTCCCAGCAACGTCACCGTTGCCGAGGACGCTGAGTGGGAGGCAGGCTGGTCGGGTCCTGAAGCCGGGGAAAGAGGCGCCTGGATCGCGCTCGGCATTCAGGGTCTGCGCGTGTTCGGGAAGGAGTAACACCTGCTCCAGCCTTTCGGGGTTGCGCCGAGGCGACCAACAGCGACCCCCGGCCGAGCGACGTGCGGCCTCGGCCTCCTCCCGGCGCGTCCTTCCGCCGCCCGAGGGCCGGGGCCGCGGAGGCCGGGGGCGCCCCGAGCCGCGCGCCCGTCCCGCGGGTCCCGCCGCGGCAGGCACGCGCGCGCCGCTCGGAGGAGAGCTCGGTGGGCGGGGTTTCACTGCACGCAGCGCGGCTCGACTCCGCCCCCCCCGCCCCCAAAGCCTCGGCCGCCCTCGTTGGGGGCCCGGAGGTGGCGTGGGCAGGAATCACGGGCTTACCTGCGGCGTTGCTGTTCCTCAGGTGCTGTTTCCAAAAAGGATCCTTCGTGCGGTGTCTACCCGCCTCTGCAACCGCAGGGCCTTGGGAAAACTTGCCATTATCTGGGGTAGCTTTGGAGTCACACTCTCTCAATTTTCCTGTCTTCCTGGGCATAACAATGAAAATTTGGCTGCCATTAATTTGTTCCTGGAACATTTAAGGACCATTTTGTTTAATTATACGTGGAAGGTTGTTTTTTTCCTCCACCATCCAACACTGAGGCTGAAGTGCTAAGAAAATGAGCGATTTGAATCAGGAGCTGTAGTTTTTTATACGCTCCTGTGGAAATTTGTGGTCCTCTCTTAAAGAATTCCAGTGTCCAGCATGGTGCTAAATACATACACTGTGATAAAAAGTACTGTTAAAATTTAGTGGGTCCATATTTTCAAACAATAATTCAACTGAAAGCAGACACATCTCCAACGGCTACAACTTTAGGATTGTATAAAAGTAAAGTTTGCAAGTCACATTTTAATGAGTTGTGCCTGTTTTACAGAGATCACTTTTCTCACTTTTATTTTACCAAACCGAAATTATCTTTGATACTTTTCCCTCTTACCATCATCCACTTTCATTTTGACTTTTCTTTCTTCGATTAGATGTTAACTACAATTCTGGATTTCAAGAAACACTTTTAAATACCAGATTTTGGTCTTTGGTCTTTGCTTCCTTCCCTTGTGTCACTAATCATTTCTTTACACTTTCAAAATTTTGCCTTTCCTGTTAAAACATTTATATGCCCTACTATTATCTCCAACAATGCACATAATTAAACCATTGAGGCATACACCACTAAAGGCATGGGATATAATAAATTTGGTGCGGGACCCTAATCTTATTTTGAAATGTGTCCAGTTAATGTAACTGTGACATACATGGCTGATTGGGACTCTGGTTTCAAAGAGAATAGTAGTTAATTAACATTTACAAGGAAACAGACAAGAGCAGAGGTATTTGCATTGTTCTATTACTAGTGATTGATTTTCATGGGTGCTGCTTACTTCTTTATTACAAACACTGGCATATCAAGATAACTTCATTCCACGTATATATGATTGGGTAAGGGCACTAAGAAAATGCCATCTGAAAAAGGAATTTATGAAAGGAGAGAAGCTAGGCATATAGAAATAGAATAGGCTTTGTTGCTAGAAAAACATTAGTTGTACATATTTCTAGATGAACAATATGGCCTGGTTTCTTTCATGAAAATTTAAAATAGGAAGGCTAGAAACCCCCTATGAAGAAATAGAATAATCTGATTTTTGTTAAGTTTGTATCTACAATGAGTGACAAACCACTAAGACGTAGGAAGATTATTTCAAGACTCCTTTCATTTAAAGAGAAGGACGTTTGGATTAGAAGAAGTAACCGAACAGGAGGTCCAGAAACGTTGTATCCTACAGTGAATTAGAAAGTAAGCACCAAGTTTCCCTTTAAGTGCTTCCCAATTGTTTTACAGTTTCCCTCTTCCAATTTGACTGTGGGTTCCTCTCCAAAAGGAAGTATTTATTTTGCACATGCAACAGAGGTTTCCTTTAGCACTGGCAACATTAGTTGCAAATATGTTAATAGCTTGGCTTAAGACGTTGCAGTTCTACACATGGAAGGACACATAATAATTAGTAACTAGCTCATTAAAAATAAAGGTTCTTCCTTCAGAGGAGTATTTCTCAGTCCGCCCTGATTGCCAGTCAGAAAGGCGTCATCCAGTTTCATCCTAGATTTATGCCAAAATTCAGTTACAATTAATAAGGCAAAAAAATAAAGACACTAATTATATGGAATGGCATTTTTGAGAAGCACTGACTTCATAACCAGTGTTGGGGATAGGGAACTGTGTGGATAGGCTTGCGATGCTCTAGATCTTAGTCTGCATGAGATCATGTGGAAAGACCGAATTTTAAATGCTTTTTAAGTTTCTCATGCTTGCAATCAAATGAGCATGCACTGGAAAATTTACCAGGAGGGTAGACACACAGGTCTTTTTTTCTTGAACTATCCTTGATAAATAATCTTATATTGGTTTCAAGTATGCAACACAGTGGCTCAACAGTTACCCTTATTATTAAATCTTCACTCCCACTAGTGCGGTTACTATCTTCACAGGGTCTTTAGCGTCACAAACTAGAGTTGGAAGTAAATGCAAACTTTTGGGGCTGAAGTCCATTCTAAATTGAAACCCTGGCCATTTGGTACCGCATGGGGTGAGTCGTGATGCTCACTCGGGTCAAAGCAGCTGGCTCTGGGCGGGACGAGCCACGCGGCCGGCCCAGCAGGGCGGTCGTCGGGCTCGCAGCCATTAAGCCGACCCCGTCGCCGAGTCTCCGGCCAGCGACGTAGCCCCTGGGTTCCCAGCCCAGCGGCCCAGATTCCACGGCCTCCCCGGCGGGCGGGAGGTGCGCAGGGCAGGGGAGGATCCAGCCCGGCGGGAGGCGACCCGCGGATGCCGGAGCTCGTCCCGGACCGGCGGGAGGGCAGGGCTGCGGGGAGAGGGGGGTGCCGGCGGTGAAGGGCCAGACGGATCTCGGTACTGTCTGCAGCTAAGACAGAACGGCGGAGGCGACGACACCGTCGTACGTGTGCGCCGGCCCAGCCCCCTCGCCGCCCCAGCCCCCGGCCCCCCGCTGGAGCGGCGAGTAATTCATACAAAAGGAAGACTCGCCTCCGCATGGGGGAGTCCCAGGGACCGTCGCTAAACTCCCACTAACCTAGAACCGAGTGCGTTCGCGCGCCCGTCCTCCACCCACTCGCGCTCGTCGTCGTCGGAGTCGAGAGGAGCATGCGCGAGGCAAAGTGCGCGCTTCAGTGGGCGGCGAGCACATCGCCCACGGCCCCCGACGTAGGGGAGGGGGAACGGCGCCCGCTCGGGCGCCAGGCGGAGTGGCGCGGGGTAACCTGGGAAAGTGCTGTCGTATAAGGGTCCGCCCCTTTACCGAGGGAGGGGAGGGCCGTATATAAGGGCCGTGGTCGCCCCGGACGTTCTTTTTCGCAACGGGTTTGCCGTTAGAGCACAGGTGGGTGTCCGTTGCGGCCGCCGCGGGCCCGGCCCGGCGCGGGCTGCTAGCCTCGCGGGCTGCCCCGGGGCCGTGCCGCCGAGCTCCCTGACGGTGCTGGCAGCTCCGAGCCTCGGGCCGCGCGTGGGCGGGAGCGTTCGCGGCTGTGCGAGCCGCCCGGCAGTCTGCGAGCCGCGTGCTCGGGGGGAGGCCGCATGGGCGCCGAGGCCGCCGCGTGCCCATCCGCCGCTGCGCCTCGCCTGGTACCGGTCCTGGAGAATCCGGTCCCGGGGCTTCCGAAGAAAGGTAGTGGCGGCCTCAACGTCGGGAGCGTAGTCGGCGTGTGGCCGTGTCTGGACGGGACGGGCGGAGGGCGGCGGCGGGGCGCTGGGCCGGAGCGCCGCCGAGCCGGTAGGGGAGGCCCGGCCTCCGCCCCGCCCGCGCGCGTGGAAAGATGGCCGCTCGGCTCGCCGCGGAGCTCAAAATGGAGGACGCGGCGGCCGGGCGAACGGGGTGCGGCGGCCACACAAAGGCGGTGCTGCCCCTTGACCCCGCGGGCCGGGCGGGGTGGCCGGAGCCGCCGGCGGAATTTGCCCGCGAGGGCGGCTCGCAGCGGGCCTCGGGTGGTGTCCTAAGGCCCCGCTCCCCCCAGGTCAGGTGTCGTGAAAACCACCGTTACTCGGAACCGAGATGGGCAAGGAGAAGACGCACATAAACATCGTCGTCATCGGACACGTCGACTCGGGGAAGTCGACCACCACTGGCCACCTGATCTACAAATGCGGTGGCATCGACAAGAGAACCATCGAAAAATTTGAGAAGGAGGCTGCCGAGGTAGGCGCGGTCCCGGCGGCGGGCCGATGCCGGCGGGAAGGCCGGGGGAGGCGTGGGATTTCCCCAGTGAGTCACCGCCTCGGGGCGGCGCGCTGCGTGCCTGGCCGGGGCGGCGGCAGCCGCCCCCCACCCCGACCCCACGGGAGCAGCGGCGAGGCCGAGACCCCGAGGTGACGGTCCCCGGGGCCGCGGCCGCCGCAGGAGTGGGTGCGGGGACCGTCAGGCTGGGGTTTGATTCCCCCCAGTTACAAGTAACCGTCCGTAATTCTTCCAGATGGGAAAAGGCTCCTTCAAGTATGCCTGGGTCTTGGATAAACTGAAAGCCGAACGTGAGCGTGGGATCACCATTGATATCTCCCTGTGGAAATTTGAGACCAGCAAGTATTACGTGACTATCATTGATGCCCCAGGACACAGGGACTTTATCAAAAACATGATTACAGGCACATCACAGGTTTGTAGGATTAATAAGGTGAAAGTTGGGCCTGTCTTAGGTGGAAAAATGGTGGTGGACTCGTCCCACGTAAGAGTTTTCCTTTAACAGGATGCGGCCTTGTTTTCTTTCAAAGGCTGATTGCGCCGTCCTGATAGTTGCTGCTGGTGTTGGTGAATTTGAAGCAGGTATCTCCAAGAATGGGCAGACCCGTGAGCATGCCCTTCTGGCTTACACACTGGGTGTGAAGCAGCTAATTGTTGGTGTTAATAAAATGGATTCCACTGAGCCACCCTACAGCCAGAAGAGATACGAGGAAATCGTTAAGGAAGTCAGCACCTACATTAAGAAAATTGGCTACAACCCCGACACAGTAGCATTTGTGCCAATTTCCGGTTGGAACGGTGACAACATGCTGGAGCCAAGTGCTAATGTAAGTGATTTTCTCCAGACAGTTGAAAAAAGTGAACTTGGGAAACGTGAAAATGTTCGTTGGTTGACAATCTTGTGTTCTAGATGCCTTGGTTCAAGGGATGGAAAGTCACGCGTAAGGATGGCAGTGCCAGCGGGACCACGCTGCTTGAAGCTCTGGATTGTATCCTGCCACCAACTCGTCCAACTGACAAGCCCTTGCGCCTGCCCCTTCAGGATGTCTACAAAATTGGTGGTAAGTTGACTGACCAGAATGTATAATGTAGCTTGTGCAAGTGGCCACAGCGCCTTCTGCCTCTACATAAGGTATTTATGGCACTGTGAATGTTTCAGGTATTGGTACTGTGCCCGTGGGCCGAGTGGAGACCGGTGTCCTCAAACCTGGCATGGTGGTCACCTTTGCTCCAGTCAACGTGACGACTGAGGTGAAGTCTGTTGAAATGCACCATGAAGCCTTGAGTGAGGCTCTTCCTGGGGACAATGTGGGCTTCAACGTCAAGAACGTGTCTGTCAAAGATGTTCGTCGTGGCAATGTGGCTGGTGACAGTAAAAATGACCCGCCGATGGAAGCAGCTGGCTTCACGGCTCAGGTAACACTATCCCCAGCGACACGTTCCCACTTCCTGCCAGGGCTTGTCTGGGAGGCTCCCTAACCGCACGTTTCTTCTCCAAGGTGATTATCCTGAACCATCCAGGCCAGATCAGTGCTGGCTACGCTCCCGTGCTGGATTGTCACACGGCTCACATTGCCTGCAAGTTCGCTGAGCTGAAGGAGAAGATTGATCGCCGTTCTGGGAAGAAGCTGGAGGATGGCCCCAAGTTCCTGAAGTCCGGAGACGCCGCCATTGTCGACATGGTCCCGGGCAAGCCCATGTGTGTGGAGAGCTTCTCTGACTACCCTCCTCTGGGTAAGGAGGATGCCGCGTGCCCAGAAATATTAGAGATGAGAATAGTGCTTTTGTGTACCAGTTGTTTCTGATGTAAAATGTAAAATTTGTCTCAACAGGCCGCTTTGCTGTTCGTGACATGAGACAGACAGTTGCTGTGGGCGTCATCAAAGCCGTGGACAAGAAGGCCGCTGGAGCTGGCAAGGTCACCAAGTCCGCCCAGAAAGCTCAGAAGGCTAAATGAATATTACCCCCAACCCCTGCCACCCCAGTCTTAATCAGTGGTGGAAGAACGGTCTCAGAACTCTTTGTCTCAATTGGCCATTTAAGTTTAATAGTAAAAGACTGGTCAATGATAACAATGCATCGTAAAACCTTCAGAAGGAAAGGAGAATGTTTTGTGGACCATTTGTTTCTTTTTGTGTGTGTGGCAGTTTTAAGTTATTAGTTTTTAAAATCAGTACTTTTTAATGGAAACAACTTGACCAAAAATCTGTCACAGAATTTTGAGACCCATTAAAACAACAGTTTAATGAGAAACGTGTCTTCTTTGGTCAAACCTGTAACTTTACACAGTAGTACTTAAAAGACTTGAGTTACTAATTATTTTTGGTGTTACATAGGCTAAACTATCTGTTGATTCTTAGTTAACATTTTTCTGCGTGGGAACTTGAATTTCAGCTGCTTCTAGGGGAGGATCAAAGCACATAGTGAAGTACAGGGGTGTCTTAGTGCAACACAGGGTAAATGAGAGTTCATTTTCATGTAAGCTCTATAGAAAAGGCTGAGTTTTGTAATAAAGCATGTATGTGTTGCATATAAGTTTTTGTGGAGTTTTAACTTTGTCAAATTTTAGTTAACTGGAATGCATTTCTCACATCTTAAAGACTTAAAAAGTGTGAGAGTTAAGTAGCACCAAGCATTGTCCCACTAGAGTTCAATTGTGTTTCAGATTCTAGGAAAATGGAAGTGTATTTCCTGTCACTTGGAAGTCTTCCGCTAGGAGTTGTCATCGAGTGAGGAACGTTGCCACACTGGAGATGTGGGTGAGGAGGTGCACTGGCAAGATGACAGCCTCAGTGAGGGGAAGGACCCTTTTGGACTGGAGTGCAGGAGCATTATTGCTTTTAGGTAGAAAAGTGTTCAGGTATCACTCAAGATTTTACAGAAAGGAATGTTGGAAGGTAATGATTTGAGGTTGCTAAAGTGTGACAGGTGGGCAGCATGAAAGTAAGCAGCCCTTAGAGTAGGATGCTTTGGTGATGCCTGCAGTGTGATTGGTGTCCTTATAACAGCAAGCTGGTTTTGGAACAGTTGGGCATTTGAAAAACAATGGAAAATTTTGACTAAAACTGTGGGGCAGTACTTCAGTTTTGCTTTTGGAAAGTTTTTAAGCTTGTAAGTGGCAGAGTCCCAGGATACCTTAAGTTTTGTAAGCAAACGTAGGCTAAGTGGAATGTGTAACTACAGCAACTGAGGAGAGTTAATAGTTGAGAAACTCACTAATTCTAAACAAAATGCCTTCTCACTTAAGTACTTGAGGCATTTGATGGGGTCTTTAGAGTTTATATAGTTAGGCAACTATCCCTACCCTGCCCCCACCCCCCATTAAGTGTGCTTACTGTTTGATTAAATGAAATGGGTAAGGTCTTCGATAGCTAGTGATAAAATAGGCAACTGGTATAAAGCAAATTGTAGAATTTGCTCAGATTCATTACCCCACACCCCCTCGGGTTTAATTTGTAGAAGATCGCTACCACTATACGGAATGATAGGGAAGGGTGAGTTAAGTGTCAGTGGACCCACCCAGCCTGGGTACTTCCTCCAAAGAGCCTGGTAGGTGTAAGCCTAAACAATTGTCTGATTTCAGCGCCCCCTACTGGTGGTCACTGCAAATTTAAAATGAATTTACAAATTCAGGATAAAGTAGCTTTTGCTGAGTTTTCTACATATGAAAATCACCCTTTTTTTGTTTGAATTGGTTAAAAGCAAAATTGATGCATAAAAGCTCAAACTAGTGAATAACTGTTTTGGCCATAGCAGAGCTGTTTTGACCTTAGCTTTACTAGAGTTGGTATTGATAATTTATCTCCCAGATCTGACAGGGCACAGGGTCAAGTGCCTGAGTCTGATGGTCTCACTGCTTTTCTATGAGGAATATCAACAATTTTTGTCTATTATGTTCCACTATTCCAGCATTAGGTCACTACTTAGCTGCATTACCCGGATAACCTTTCAAACTTAGGTTTGAGTGACATGGCCATTTATGTCTAAACTGGTAATACCAAAAGGTTTCACCCAGCTGGAAACCCTCATTTTGAACACCCTGGCTCCCATCACATTAGCTGCAGCTGTCAAAAACTGATTTCCCCCATGTCCCTGAGAACAAGGTTGCCTTGACTTTTTGAATATATGGTATTTTAATGTTACGTTTGAAACGAGAATGTGAATTGACCACAAATCTGCAGGAAAGTCAGTAATGAACCTAGGAGGATGACTCAAGTTTGAGGTCTAGTGTGGCAGCAAGATTAACACTGGAAACAATTTTTTTCACACATGGTAATTTATCTGGTACTTCAAGTTTGCCCAATAAAGGCTGCTGACTACGGTTCAGAGCTGATTTTCAATAGT